GGTTTAGGATTTCAATCGGTTTAGGGGTTAGGGCTCGGGGTTTAGGGGATAGGATTTAAGAGGGTTTAGGGTTTAGGGTTTAGGGCTCAGGGTTTAAGGGATAGGATTTAAGAGGGTTTAGGGATTAGGGTTTAAAGGTTAGGTGCAAGATATGGCTCGTTTAGTCGCGTGAGCTCCTTTTGCAGATCTGAGGTGCATCCTGCAAAACTACGTACTACTGCTGATGGACAACATTCTGCATGACCCAAATATAGTGTAGTACCATAAATCCCGTAGTTTAGGTATATAAGGTCATGCAGGATTTTGTGCATCGACCGTATCATTTCTACACTCAAAGCCTAAACCCTGAATCCTACAACACCCCATGCAAACGCAACGAAAACCATATTAGACCCTAAACCCTAAACCCTAAACCCTAGAGCCGAAAACCCTAAACCCTAAACCCTAAACCCTAGAGCCGAAAGGAAAACGCCACACGACCAGAGTGCTTCTTTGTGCTTGCCAGACGCAGCACCAAGTCGAAGCGTAGAATCAGTATCCGATGGACGCCTTGGTGATATGGATAGGGCTTAGGGCTTGGGGTTTAGGGTTTAGGGTTTAGGGTTTATGGATTTCTGATTCCTTTGTCTGGGGTTTACAGGGTTTGTCTGGGCCCTTGGAAAAGCTACAGTCTTGGGGCTCCAGGTTATGGTTTCCACCCTGAACCATAAACCCATAAGCCCTAAAACCCTAAACCCTGAACCTTAAACCCATAAGCCCTAAAACCCTAAACCCTGAACCTTAAACCCATAAGCCCTAAAACCCTAAACCCTGAACCTTAAACCCTAAACCCATTGGTCCTAACGGGAGTCGAATTGTGTTGAGGGTTCGCCTCACAGCTCCCTGACTAAAGGGTTCTTTATTACAGAAACCCGAGAGACCTGTTCGATTTAGGGTTTCGGGTTTAGGGCTTAGGGTTTCGGGTTTAGGGCTTAGGGTTCACGGTTTAGGGCTTAGGGTTTAGGGGGGAATTCCTAGCAACTCAGGTCCATCAGCATCAACTCACACAGCCCACGGCCGTAGATGCATGAAGCTCGGCAGCCTACAAAGAGTGCTAAGCTTCCTGCGACTCAAGTTAGAAAAAATTGGGTTTAGGGTTTAGGGTTTCCCTAACCCCAGACCCTTAACCCATATTACCACCCTACAGTCCTACCTACCTACACGACTCGCAAGCAGGTAGTAGAATCTTAAGCCCGATCCCGGAGCCCAGAACCCTGAACCCTGAAGCCTAAACCCTTACCCTAAACTCTGATCGTGAAAAGCCTAACCCGTAAAACCCTAGATAAGCCCTTAAGCCCGAAACCCTAAACCCCGAAGCATCCGAATCCAGCACCGGGTGGCACAAAGAAGTGGGCACAGTCGCCAAAGCCGAGGCAACACCTCTGAAATGGTAGGGGTCTTAATAATTCGAACAGGGTTTTGGGAGTTCCTTTTTGTAATTATAGTATAATATCCCCCAAACGTTAAGGCCCCTACATTAATCTTCGTAGCAGTTGGCGTCAAAAAGGGGGTTCCACTTTTCTTGAACCTTCCCGGGAGTCTGGGATTTGGAAAGCCCTTGAAGGATCTCAAAAGTAGAGCCCCCGAAAAAAGGTATCAATATGGGTTAAGATTAATCAAGCGTTTTGGGGGGTTCTATTTTTGAGAGCCTAAATTCTAGATCCTGTCGGTGGTCTGGGGTCTGCGACTGTCTAGAAGCATCCTTCAAAGTGTCTATTCACGTCGTGGGCCTTGCCATGGAACCCCAATCGGGTGGAGGGTTTAGGGTCGAGAAATTAGGTTCAGCGTAGTTGGTTTAGGGTATTGGGATTGGGATTAAGGGTCATCGCTGCCCTTAGCATAAACCCTAACCCGGCACCGTAAACCAAAACAAACCTGAATCCGTGACCCAACCGCCATGAACCGCCATGAACCGCAACCAAGAACTCAAGTTGGGGTCTAGAAGGGTTTAGGCGTGCTACGGGGGCTCCGAACCCTAGGTGGCTTTAAGACGGTTTGGGAGGGTCGCCACTAAGTTAAATTACAACTGACCGTTATTAGTCCACAAACCAAAATGGTTCGACGCCATTGCGGCCCAGCCCGAACAGATTGAAAGCCGAGGCGAAAGAAGGAAGCGCCCATGTCATGAGTTAGCCAGGCCCGAGCACGAAAAAGAGGGCCAACCAAACAAAAACACAGCGCCCCCTGCCCTAAGCCGTGTCAGCCTCCAAGCTGTGAGCCTGGCAGCTCGAGGATCGAGAAGCGTTGTCTCAAGCTCCTTAGGGCTTAAGGTTTTTTCTTTAAAGTGTAATGGAGCGGACTTTACGACCATCCCAGCCTCGAAGGTTTAGGGTTTAGGCTTCCGATATTGTTCTTAAGGGTTTAGGGCTCTTCCAATATCCCTTGATTAAGGAACATACCGTGAATTATGGTAGGATCCCGGATATGAACTAATGTAGACGCCTTAAATCAGGGATTTTGGAAGTTCCAAGTTCCTGCGAAGAACTGGAGGTTTAGGGTTTAGGATGTAGTCTTCAGGGTTTCGGGTTTAGGCTTTAGGGCTTCGGGCCTGCATGAAGAAATGGATGCCTAGGGGTTAGGCCAGAACCTACCTTGCAAGGCTTCCTCAAGACATGGCTTCCTTGTATAAGTCCTCGACAGGTAGGTGGTTCGGGGTTTACGGTAGGGTTTAGGATATAAGCGTCAGGGCTTTAAGGTTGAGGCTCTGGGGTTTTGTAAACACAGATGTGCTTCAAGATTTTTTCTGGGGCTTCGTAATGAGGTCATGGGCTGGCGCAGGGTTCTAGGTGTAGGTCTGTAGAGCTTTGTACTTTGGGCTCCGGATTTGGAGTTTAGAGGCTTTTGGATGTCTGGGGGTTTGGCTTCGGCTATAGGGCAACAGGAAGTTGAGCACAAACAGAGGTGGGTTTAGGCTTAGGCTTTGGGTCTTAGTAGGCCTTTGTGAAAGCTTTTGATTGATAGGGTGCCATATGGCTGATAGGGTTTATGTGGACACTGTGGAGAACTGAATAATCGGAACTGGGTTTCGGAGTAGTACCATAAAAGGGACCAGGGCAGATTAGCATTATGAATTACTCAAGCCCCTCTTTGCAGTGTTTAGGCCTGCAGGTTGCACTATTTCGTCGGCCTCGGGAGTTTCCTGCGCAGTGTCGAGGTGCACACGATATGGGCTTTCGGGCTTAGGTCTTACTGACTCTACAATGGGTTTAGGGCTTAGGAAGTATAGGGTTTAGGCTTTAAGAAGTGCTGATTCCGAGGTCAGAAGTCGGTCCGTGGTGGCCTCCTGGATGAGAAGGCCTGCCAGCCAGTCCCCATCCCAAACGTCGTCTGCCATGCCAAAATGCATTTGCTGCACTCTCTGCAGGGTGCACAAGAAGAACTGCAGCCAGACACGAAACTTGGTGATGAGAGCCCCAATGGACGGAATAGCAACGAGTTGCCAGTACGAGCGAATGCTCTCGTCGCTTGGCTTCTGTATCTGGTGGCCTTGCCAACCGTAATGTCGGGGCCTTAATAATTAGAACAGGGTTTTGGGGCCCATTGTACTATAATCACAATAAGGACCCCCCAAAATAATTCAGGCAATTATTGAGGCCCCTATATTACCTGTGAGCAGCATGCTCAGTGAACAAGGATATTATGCGTGCATAAGTCTGCGCTGTGTGCTGGTTGAAGGTAGTGCTATGCAACTTGCAAACAGTACATACATAGCAAATACCAGCGATGTCAGCAGGGCAGTAATTTATCGCGAAGGCTGCCCATAACGATAACCGCATGAGACGGAAACACTAAATCCTAAACCCTAAACCCTGAAAGCCCGAATGCCCCCTACTTGTGGAATATACCTCAAACCAGTATGCAAGCATCGAGCACCCCAGAACCCCTACACGTAGCGATGCATAAACCGCGAAGCACATTCTAAACCAGACAAACCGCCAAAACCTTGCCAGAAATCCAAAACCCCAGCAAGACTTTAAGCTCCTCCACACGAAACATTGAAAACCGGTTCCGAGTTCATGCACATGCCAAGGTTCGCTCCATACTGCGCCTGCAAAGTGCCGAGCCAGAGAGCGACCCTAAACCCTAAACCCTAAACCCTAAACCCTAAACACTAAACCCTAAGCCCCGAAATGTCGGGTTGAGGGGTTTGCAACTGCCGGAGGCTCAGACTTTTAGGGGTTCAGGGCTTTGGGGTTTTGGGTTTAGGGTTTAGGGGTTTAGGGCTTAGGGGTTTAGGGTTTTAGGGTGTAGGGGTTTAGGGCTTAGGGGTTTAGGGTTTAGAGCTTTAGAGTTTAAAGGTTTTGGGTTTAGGGTTAGCATCAAAGCAGGCGTAAATTGAGTTGACCTCAAAGGAACAAGTCGTAGGGCGTACCCTTAGCCCCATGGCATAGGAGCCTCAGTCATTAGGATTGGGCTTTGGTTTTGGAGGATGGAGTAGTTAGTCCTAAATCATAAAAATCCTAAGCCCTAAACTTCACAACACTGAACCCTAAACTCGAAGCCCGTGTATCTACCCCACAAAATCTCACACATCGCATGGACATCGGGATGCAATCTCCAGACTCGAGCCCTAAAGCCTTACTGTAACCCGAAGAGTGTTGGGTTTGGGCCTTGAACTAGGATGCTTTAGGGTTCAGCGCTTAGGCTTTAGGCTTTAGGCTTTAGGCTTTAGGCTTTAGGCTTTAGGCTTTAGGGTTTAGGCTGTAGGCTTTAGGCTTTAGGCTTTAGGCTTTAGGCTTTAGGCTTTAGGCTTTAGGCTTTAGGCTTTAGGCTTTAGGCTTTAGGCTTCAGCGTTTAGGAAGTTGGGTGGAATGGACCACAAGCACTGCTCTGCTCAGCCAAGGTACTAAGTATGCCCTGGTGCTGAGCTGCTCTGCTAATACTATGTCAGAGTGCTCATCTGCAAGCCTGAGTCATTGCGGTGGATATGAAACGAGACAAATCACGGAGAAAATGACATGGCGTCGGTTCAAGGGCTTAGGCGTAGGAATCGGAGCTATGAATTTCAGAACTCGTGGCTCTGTTCGGGTTTTTCCTGATCGCAGGATGTTAGCTTCAGCGCAAACCCAACCGCTACGACACCCTCTACTTCTGAACTAGTTGCTAGGCTCCCAGCCCAGCTACCGGACACTCCCTGGACTCACACAATCCTAAGACTTACCGTCGCGCTTGGCATAGAGCCTGGAAGACAGTAGTTACAGAAAAGAAGGTTTAGGGTTTAGGGTTTAGGGTTTAGGGTTTAGGGTTTAGGGTTTAGGGTTTAGGGTTTAGGGTTTAGGGTTTAGGGTTTAGGGTTTAAGCCAACTTGAGGGCTCCTACAACTTAAACCTAATCACCGCAAACGAAACCAAGCTAAGCAAGGGGCCTTAATAATTAGAATAGGGTCTGGGGGAATATTCTACTATAGTTAGAACAAGGAACCCCAAGAACACTATTCTAATTATTGACGCCCCCACATTATTCCTGAATCAAGAATGTTGGAATTTCGAAACGCCGCTGGCCTCGAGCTCTGGGATGTACCTTGCGAAGGTGTTGGGGAGCTTTTAGTGCTTCTTGCGGATCCTTTTAGCGCATGAACACACCTGGGCGAAATAAGACCTCAAGCCCCTAACTTATAGAACTCTTCTTGCAATTAAGCCTGATAGAACCCGTAAAGTAACCTGTCTGGTCATCCCTTCAAAGAGACCCTAAACCCCAAACCCTACACCCCAAACCCTTAAAAGAACAACTCAGATGTACGTCGAAGAACGGGCTAGGATAGGTCGCGCCGTAGACGTCCACCTCGAAGCCCAGCGCCTGCTACGATGCCCGGGAGGGTTTAGGGCTTCAGGGTTCAGGGTTGATAGGTTGGGAGGTTTAGGTTTGGGGGTTCAGCGTTTTGGGGTCTAGGGTTTTGGGGTTTGGGTTTCGGGGTCTTGGCACAACTTGGGGTTTAGGTTCGGTTGTTTAGAGGCTTAGGAGGTAGCAGCTTGGCTTTAGGGATTTGAGGTTCCGGGAAACCCTAAACCCTAAACCCTAAACCCTAAACCCTAAACCCTAAACCCTAAACCCTAGGGGGTTTATAACGTAAAGTAGAAGGGGTCACTCAAGCGAAGCCGGACTTGGGGAGTGGATTCCCTCCTCTAAACCCTAAACTGGGCCGGATTCAGAAGCCCTATAAAACTTAAGATTCTTATGGGTTATATATGGTTATATTGGGATTACAGTCCTTAAAACTTACAAATAATTTCCAAGAACACCCCAGTAAACCCTAAACCCTAAACCCCAAATCCTCATCTTCAAGCCGAGGGTTTAGGCTTTAGGGTTTAGCGTTTAGGGTCCTCGTCTTCAAGCCGAACCTCGTGCAATATCATGGCCTTGGTAGAACTAGAATACGGCATCTTCCGAGATGTACTTAAAAGTTCACGGGGCTTGGTAACTAGGGTTATGAACATGGTAACTATACTTGTAATTACTTATAGTCCCAATTAAGGTGCTTATATGACTGTACATATTAAGTCCCACGAACCTCCAAGTACGAATGCTCCTTCTATGTGACTTCTCTAAGACTTCCAGAATGACTCCAGGGCGTAAACCAATATGGAAGGCCTTGAGAATCAGAGTTGGGTTTCGGTGTAGATTATACCCTAAACCCTGAACCCTAAACCCTAAACCCTAAACCCTAAACGGTATATAGGTAACTATTAAGGCCCCTTTACTAACGAATCTGAGGGGCTTCGAGAATCAGAGTGGGGCTTTGGCCGAAACCCCCTGAGGAGCCCCCGTAAGGGAAACCTTAGGGTTTAGGGTTTAGGGTTTAGGGGGGTTTGGGGTGAAAGGGTTTGGGGTTTGGGGTGAAAGGGTTTGGGGTTTGGGGTTCAGGGTTTAAGGTTTAGGGTTTGGGGTTTAGGATTTAAGGTTTCCCTCAGTCCTGAACCCTGAACGTCCTAGTATCCCCTGAATAGCACCCCAAACTCTAGAACCCTTAAAACAACTCTTATCGAACAGTTTGAAGGAACCCTCGTCTGACTGCCCAATATAGGGGCCTTAATAATTAAAATAGGGTTTAGGGGCCCATTATACTACAATTATACTAAGGAACCGCCAGAATAGTATTGGCAATTATTTCGGCCCTTATATTATTCCCGAAACCCTAAAACCTAAACACTAAACCCTGAAACCTAAGCCCTAAACCCTAAAGCCTAAACCCTAAATCCTAAACCCTAGTCTAACTGCCTCTTCAGGCTCCTATAGCAGCTGCCTCCATCGGCCTGACGACATGTTCCAAGTGAGACTTCGCAGCCTCGGTGGCTGCGCTTTGGGTTTAGGGTTGTGGGGTGTAGGGTTGAGGGCTTTGGGGTTTAGGGCTTTGGGGTTTAGGGCTTTGGGGTTTAGGGTTTGGGGTTTTCGGCTTTGGGGTTTTAGGTTTCGGGTTTAGGCTTGAGGTTTGGACCCCTGCGGTGTGTTGCATGAGTTTTGAAGCTTCTGTATTCGGCTATATTATGGTGGGCTATCGGATTTGTAGGTTTGTACATTTGGGGTCAGGGTTAGGTTTTAGGTTTAAGATTCTTGGTTCGGGGCTTTAGGTTCAGAGTTTAGGGTTCAGGGTGTAGGTCAAGCCTCTTGGTTGGTTTTATGAGGGCTTCCTACGGTTTTGTCAAGCTTCTAGGAAGGTCTGGCAAAGACTCAGAAGTTAGGGTTTAGGTTTTAGGGTTAAGGGTTTAGGGAGTCGTTGATAAGGCTTGCCGATTTAAGGGCGTCATCAGGTGTTTAATGGACTTTCCCAGGGCTCGGCTTACAAGTAGCTGGTTAAGAACTTGTAGAATTCAATCGGCTCATGGGACAAAGTCTTTCGTGGGCTTTTTCTACTAAGGTTTCACGCTGTTTAGTTGCCAGAGGACTGAGTCTGTGTGCAGTTCAAACCAAGAGGGTCCATATTTGCTACTGTTGTGGAACGAGGTCCCAAAACCATAACAAGGACGATCTTTCGGGACCTCATGATGGTAGTATGTATATATATATATATGCATATATGGACCCTCCGGGAAGACTGTCCACGGACGTTGGCTTTCACGATTGGGAGGGTGCTGCCTTCAAGATTCGGGTTTGAGGTTTAGGGTTTACTTGCAGGTTTCTGGGACTTAGTAAGTACAGTTATAAGTACCTTAATTAGGGTTCTAAAATTACTTGTAAGTATAGTTATCTTACTTATAACCCTAGTTCTTAAGTCCCATGAACCTCCAAGTGGGGTTTGAGGTTTGGGGTTTAGGTTCAGGACCCACCGGCCCAAGCTCGGCCTTCATAATTCCGCGGGGCGAATTGATCAGCATGGGTTCTTGGGGTATCTTATGAGTAAAGTAAGGAGCCCCAAAGAGAAAACATGGCGGTAGTTATTGAGGCTTCAATATAATTTGGTAGAGTGTCTGCGACATAGCGCTGGTCCTCACATAGATGGAGGCTGGAAGGATGCAACGAAAGTCATGTGTTGGTAACATCAACCCAGCTGACGCCAGCAGTCTAGCAGTTGCGAAACAAGACTGACCATCAATGCAGCAACGACATGAATGATGGAATTAGGATGCTGTTAATCTTTGTCTGATGAAGATGGCTATTGATGTTCTACAAGCAGATTGCGAGACGGTGCCCTAATCAACACTCAAGTCACTAAACCCAACAACCTGGACGAAGGCGCCGCAAGCTGCTGCAAGACAGACTGCGGCAGGTTCCGGTGGCCTAGTGGGGGTTAAGGGCTGAAGTTTAGGGTTTGGTGTAATAGGGCTTAGGGTCTAGGGTTTAGGGGGCCTAAATACTTACCAATACTATTTTTAGGGTTCCTTATTCTAATTCTAGTACCCCAAAAACCCTACTCTAATTTTGAAGTCCCCTACAGTCCGGCTTGGCATTGGAGTAGACCCCAGGGCTTTGCGAGGATTCCGTATGCCCGATGGTCAAGATCCTGCATACATAGGGTTTAGGGGAAATTGTGGTGTCTTCCTCGTTGCGGACATTGAAAGATTTTGTTCACAAGAAACTGAGAATACGTATCAGACCGCACGAAGTAGTTGTAGAACAGTCGTAAGAGATTGCCACGGTCATCTGCAGCATGATCGCCAAAACCACGCCATCGCTACCAACATCGGTATCAGAAGCAGAACGAACATCACCACCGCCATCACGACGGTCACCATCACCACCAACGCCCCATCATCACCCGGTGCTCCTTCAGGAGTCAAAAAGCGACTTACCGCTACTTCGTGAAAACTAAGACAACTAAGATCTAAGGCATGGCATTCGAATCGCTGTCTGCACCTATACCTCTAATCTCAGCCAAGGTCTTGTGCTTCGGCAATCTACTCCCCATATGGATTCTGCATAACAAACACCTCCGGAAACTCCACAAATCCACTGCAATCGTATCACCGTGCCCTCCCCCCTTCGCTGTTGTACTCAAACCCGGAAGCCTAGACTCTACAGTAAGAGGTCTGGATTATTCGACATAGTATCCCCTCATGGTCCTCATATAGTCATATCATAATATCCCCTAAACTGGCATTATCAAGGCCCACATATGAACCGACGCCTCCACGGCTGACGCTGGTTCCCCTTCTCCACAGAAAGCTATGACCCCGGAGGACCAATGCCACGCGGCCTGGAAATTCAGGATCTCGGCTTTCCGTCATAGGGTTTAGGGTATCGGTCTTACGGCCTATAGGGATCTTAGGAAAGCACCGATATCTTGTATGGGGTTGAAAATGTAGGGTCCAGATTCAGCACTAGGGGTTTTAGTTGGGATCGGTTTTGGGGCGTAGGGCCTTGTAAGGGGCTCCGTTAACAGTCAAGTCGAAGGATCTCCGTAGTTGCTGTCGGGCGCAGGAAAACTAAGCCCAAGTCCAGACCAACCCCCTCAAACCGCTGGGGGTTTCTATGCTAGAAATACACTTATGGGGAACCTAAGGCACACTATTCCAACTTACTTGGTTCACTGTCTTGGGGGTTTAAAGACAACCCTGAACCGCCTAAACCCAAACCTCGAACGGAACAGCGGGACGGAATTGGTGGTTCGGGAACGGCCAGAGAAATATCTGAACCCTACAACCCCAAACCAAAACAAAAGAAAGAAGCCTTCAAATCCCTGTCCCTAAATAACCCTAAACCCTGAGTCCAAAATCCAAAGAACTCGAAACATGACATGGCAAAGGGCTAAGGAACCAGGGTTTTCGTGCCTAGGGTTGGGTTTAGTGTTTATGGTTTAGGGTTTAGGGTTTTTGGAACCTAACTCTCTGAAAACTCTTTCGACAAACATGAAACGACCTACAAAGACTTCCTGGGATCAACTGAAATGGGTTAAAACTTACGTGGTTTGGGGTTCGGGGCTTCGCCATCAGACAGAAGTCCATCCCGTGATATCCTGATGCGAATCTACACGACGCACGCTTCCCACTTAAGACGCCTATAGACGGTGAATTCCTCCTGCCTCGACCTTAAACTCCGACTCCCTCCACCTCAAACCCTAAATACCCTCAACCCTAAACCCTAATACTAAACCGCAGTTATAGGGCTTAGGGTTTCAGGGTTTAGGGTTTAGGGAAGCCAAGCCGCGGCAGCTTCGTGCCGTGTCCTGTGCGGGCTTGGGTGCCGGGGCCAGCGGTGAGCTTCCTCCCACATGGAAGCACTCCTTCTCCTCACCGGTCAGGGTTTTTTTAAGTGCAATCGTGGTCAGGGTTTAGGGTTTAGGGCTTGGGGCTTGGGGGTTTAGAGTCTGGAGCGTTAGAGTTTCGGGGTTTGGAGGTTTAGGGATGTAGGGTTTAGGGTTTAGGCTGTCGGCGCGCGTCGATGCTCTGCGCACACCACCACGCGAGAGGTGCGTTGTGGTGCGCGCTGAGGTGCCCTCCCAACCCGGTGCATCCCGATAGAATAATCTGGGGGATCCTTGAACCTGGACCCTGGACGAAGTCCAAGGGGCGTTGGAGTCGTGGGCAGGGCTCTGATAAGGCTGCTTCGGGACTTCACCCAAAGCTTTTACATAAACAAGGCGATACCATGATAGGGGTATCCAGTGCAATAAGAGGCAGTAGGCGCCAGGTCGGTGCACGAAGCGATTCTGTGGTTCTTGCTATGCAGCGTCGTCGCATTTTCCACCAACATCGAGATTTTGCCCGAGCGGCCCGCTTTCTCTCGAGGGCACCCAAGTAATCCCCAAACCCGAACCCTGAACCCTAAAGCCATCTTTGGCTTTTCATAGTCGGAAGCCCTAGGTATTTGGTCTGGCTCGTCCGAGTGGTCTCATTTACCTAATTTAGAAAGGGTAGCCTCTGAGAAGCCTAGCCCAAACAAGGTTCAGCTTCTAATTATGATGGTATACAGTAATAGTATCCCCTTTTTCCCCATATTATCTCATTCACAGTGAAGCGCAGGCTTTTGGGGCGCTTATCGCGCAAAGAGGACTGGCATCTAAGGGCTGTAGGGTCTGGGGCTTGGGGCTTCGAGTGGTTCAACCACCAGTGCAGCGGTTTAAGGGTTTTGTATATTAAAGGCTGAGTGCATGTATCTTAAGCACTGGTTATCCCTAAACCCGACAACCCCATACATTCGTTAAATATAGCAAAAACAAAACAGAAAATCCAGAACTCGGGCAGTGAGTCCTGGTCAACACCCTGCACGGACTGGAGCAGGACTACGCGTTGCCGCCAGGGCATGAACACCTGGAATAAGTTGTGCGCTTCGCGCATGCAGGTCTGTGCTCATGTATGGCGGAGACATGCAGCGAGAGAAACGCATGTCTCCGTTCGTGCACACTGTCATGTGCACATGCGCATGCGTAGCTGAATGACCGTGTTAGCCAGTCAAGCTGCTTGTATGTAGGCATGGGTATGCACAGTTGTCAACTCTTGACTATACATGTGCGCATGAGCGAGTCTGTGTACTTACTCACCACCAATTGCCATCTTCAACCTTTGCTCGCAGACACACCCGAACCTTCCTAATTACTTGTTCCATATCTTACAAGGATCCCTCGCAAATTTTAGGCCATTGTAGTTCCTTTTGGGGTTTCCTTATAGGATCCTAAACATATTGGAGTAAACCAAAGAAGGAACTACAATGGAGACTATATGTAAGAATGAATTACCTACGCCCTAAACTCCCTTCTCCCTAAACCTTTAACCCCTAAACCCTAAACCCTAAACCTTAAACCCTAAACTGAACCCTAGGATTTAAAGGTATGGGGCCTGTGACCCTAAATACCTTCAAATCCTAGGGTTTACCTAAACCCGGTCAAAGGGCTTTGGACTTTGAGTACAGGGTTTGGGTTTAGGGTTTAGGGTTTAGGGTTTAGGGTTTAGGATTTAGGGTTTAGGGTTTAGGATTTAGGGTTTGGGTTCCATAATTAGACTAGGATTTCCGGCACAGTACATGATGTAAAGTGAGGCAGAGCCCTCAATATTGATACTAGGGTTTTCGTTTTCGGCTAAGTTGAACAAAAAAAGTTGTAACAAGCAGCCCTCAAGACTCGTAGTACTAAATCCTCAGGCATCTCAGGCTTCTCTATTGCAGACCACCACGAAGCTCCTAGAAGCTACATTTCAGTGCCAAGACCCTAAATCGCCCTAAACCCTAAACCCCTCAAACCTAAACCCTAGCTTTTTCCCCCCAGGGAGGGTTTGCAAGGTTTATGGTTCAAGTTTCGGTATTAACCCTGGCCCCTATAGGCTACGTGCTGCGCTTGACGGGGCTGCTGTTGATGAGGTTTCTGGGTACACTTAAGGACCTTTTTCGCACCTCTCTCTTTCATGAGGCCTAGGGGTTTGCTAGTGTCAGGGCTGAGGGTTTGGGCTTCAGGGTTTAGGGAAACCCATGGAACCCTCAACCCAAGACTGCCTTTAAACCCTGAAACCGCACAGACGCCGACCGGGCAGAAGCAAAAGAGCCCTCACAAAACACCCGAACCCGAAATCATAAACCCTAAAGCCCTGAAGCCTAAACCCCAAAGCCCTAAAAGCACTGAGCCCTTAAACATACGCGATGTTTTAGACAGCTTTGATCATAAGGACCCTTACAGGGGGGTAGGGGGGAGGGGGTACCCGTAATAAGGACCTAATAATCCCTATGTAGGGAAGTGACCGGCCCTACCCCCGTAAACAATAAACCCTAAAACCCTAAATATTATGCTTTCAAGTCTGGTGCTCCAAGCAGCCTCGAGGATTTCCAGTAGAGGCCATGAGCTGGACCAACTCGGGGCAAGACATTTAGGGTTTAGGGTTTCGGGGTTTAGGGGTTTAGGGTTTTGGGTCTTGGGTTTTGGGGTTTAGGGAATTCGGGAGGCGTTGATTTGGGGCTTTAAAGTCTTCCTGTGAGATCCTCTTGAAAAGGTTGGTTTGGGGGTGCTTAAGGCGCTAGGAAGGGTTGTAGATGATTTCATCAGGTCTTATTTACACCCTAAACCCTAAACCCTAAACCCAACACCCTAAACCCTAAACCCTAAACCCTAAAGGGGTAGGGGACTATACTTCCTTACACATGGCTTATTAGGTCCTTACTACGGGTACCCCCTCCCCCCTGCCCGCCTGTAAGGGTCCTTATGATCAAAGCTGTATAAAACATCGCGGATGTTTAGGGGTTCGGTGTTGCTAGGGCTGTGGGGTTTGGGGCTTTGGGTTTAGGGTTTGGGGTGGTGGATTTAGCATTTAAGGTGGGTTCACAACTTGCGGGTTGCAAGTTCAGAGTTGGAGTTGAGGCTGTGCCAATGGACGGCTTCAGCAGCTGGTGTTTTGCCTACATGAACTAAACCCTAAAGCCCGAAACCCTAAACTCAAGACCATAAACCCTGAACCACCCCAGACCCGATCTCATAATCCATGGCGACCGACGCTCGACTTGTCAACCCTGCCCCGCCCCCCTACAGTAGGCCTTCCTTAACCCGGGTTTAAGGGTTTGGGGTTTTGGGTTTAGGGTTCAGGGTTTAGGGTTTAGGGTCTGGGTTTAGCGTTTAGGGTTTAGAGTTTGTCTGGAACCCCCATAGCACGTTAGCCCCGAGGCCTAGAACGGCTTGACACCCAAAGCCCAAATCGCTGTGGACTCGAAACCTCAAATCCTGAATCTCGACACCCCTTAACTCCCTACTTGGAGGGTCTTGGGGACTTAGTAAGTAGGTAGTAAGTAGACTTGTAAGTACCTTAAAAAGGGATCCTAATTAATTGAGGTGATGGTACTTATACGCCTAGAAATTAACCACTGACCACGCCCCCCCAAGACTCCCAGTATCCCCTTAGCCACTGAACACCTCTAAACCCAAACCCCTAAAGCCTTAGATCCCTAAACCCCTCAGGCCCACAAAATAAACGGTTTAGGGTCCTGGTTCTTAAAAAGCCCCTACCTGAAGCCCTAAAACACCACGCAGGATCTCAGAGGTAACCCCTGTAGCAACCCAGATACCCTACACATCTGTAGAAACCCTACACTAAAAGCAGCAACCCGTGATACTTTAACTAAACCTAAAACCCTAAACCTTAAACTCCTACACTCTAAACCCCAAACCCTAAACCCTAGACCCTAAACCCTAAACCCTAAACCCTAAACCTTAAACTCCTACACTCTAAACCCTAAA